ACAGCCGGGTAATTTTCCTGGCTTCCAGCTATTATCTACATCAGTATTGGATCAACTAATTACCTCTAATTGACATTTTCCTTTATTCTCATCACTTGTCTGCTGGATATTGTATCATTACTGTGAGGAGAAATTCTATCTTGGTCACTCATGGGAGTGAAAAGGTTCTGGAAAAAGTTACTGAAACCCTTGATTTTGATCAATTTTGAGTTTTTCAAAATTAATTTTCTTTTTATGAGAAATGGTGGGAGAACTAAATTACGGCAAGTTCAAAGTTAGTACATGCCAAGTCTTCTAAAAAGACCTCAAAACTTATTACAAAAATTGTTTATAATTTTTTCCTGAACAGTTAACCCTTAGGAAATTCTGACTGACAAAAGGTTATAGCAAAAATGTGCACTGCAAGTCAAAACATGTGTCATGAAAGCTAATAAAACACTAATATTTCACTCACCAGATAACTTTCAGGGTGGCCATTTCTCCTCAGATGCTCAAGCTGTTGTAACAATTTTGCAGCATTGGACATGGTAGTTGTTGAATTTGGTTGCATATATACAATTTCCTTTCAGTATGTATCTATCAGCTAGTACCTTGCATGAACCTACACATACAAGGTCTCCCACACATGATGTGTTCATAGATGAACAGTACAACGGCACTTTCCAGTTTTCCAATCAGCTGACCTTGCCACCAAGACCATTTCCAAGAATTCTATAGAGACTGTGGAATAAATCATTAATACAGTACATGGTTTGAACTCAGCTGTAACATGTGAAAGTGTAGTGTGATCACTGCATGAGTGTAGTCCTGAGAAGGACTGTTGTCAGTGATGGTGACTGACGTTTGGCAACCTGTACAGAGGACAACAACTATTCACTTGACTCTGATGATGACTTCCGCCCAGGTTGTCAAAACATCAGTCACCACCACTGACAACAGTCCTGCTCAGGACTACACTCACCCGGACGATCACACTACACTTTCACAAATCATTAATAGCATGCAACTAAACCCTTTGCACCCTAACATCAGCAAGTATATTCTCCCTACTGTTCTCTAGACATTTCCCATGGCAATGACAATGAGAGTTGTGCTAAAAGTCAAGAGCTTTTTAAGTTTGGGATCATTTTTTCAATTGTCATGAGCCTAATGTTTGATTCAGCGGGGATACCTCAGCAAGACATCTGATTCAAGTTATCCCCATGAGTTTGGGGTCATTTTTTTTTAATTCTCCTCAGCATAATGTTTGATTCAGCAGGGATACCTTGACGAGACATCTGATTCTAGTTATCCCCAGGATTTAAAGGGTCAATGTGTGATTCAGGGATGATACTAAAAGAGGAAATAAAATGCTGGTCACTGTTAGGGGCCAGAGGATTGGCATGATCTCTGATCACTGTCAATGACCATCATTAAGTTAACTTGATTTGCAATAATCTGAGTTTTATAACAAACACATAAACAAGTCATGTACTATAATTGAAAGGGTGGAAGAGAAGGAGAATTTAGTCTGAAGTCACTAGTGACTTTTTCCATCTTCAAGTATAACTATATCATATGCATAGCTGGGGCAGATCAATGGGTGGTTTTCCTCAAAGTACTGGAAATCATGTTTCCTAAGACCTAATTTTCAAAATGTCCTGGGGGAGCATGCCCTCGGACAATTCTCCGAACCCCCTTTGACTAAATCCTGGATCCACCCCAGCATAGGATAGATAGAGAATTCAGCCTTCTGTCTGAAGTCACTAGTGACTTTTTCCATCTTAAAGTATAACTACATCATGTGTATGTGATAGGCAAGGAATGCAGTTACTCTTCAAGGACAAGATTCCAACTTCTATCCCACAGTTACCTTGATCTCAATAATTTTTTTGGGTAATCCCTGAAATTTCACTAGTACCTATTCATTTTTACAAAGCACACTATCCATGTTACTTTGTTCTGATATGTAGGACAGCACTTTGCAAGAACTTTGGCCAGACTGCATAGAGCAGTTTATAAAATCTAAAAGGGAATTTTGTAGGTGCCCCCCAGTTTCTGAAATTGTGGACACAAGGCCAAACTACAACACCTGTAACTACATTCCCTACTTCCTGCTAACCAGGAGGGGGGGGGGGACCTAACATCCAACCATTTGGAAATGTCACGGCAAACTGAAGATAGCACGTTCTCTGCAGTAATATTTTAAGACTGAGTGTTGGTCCAGTCTGAGGCTCGAACTCTCGACCTCCCTAGGGAGGGATGGCACTGTGGAGTAAGTGTCTTGCCCGAGAACATAAAACAGTCGCCCGGCCAAGCGAAACGTGCGCCTTTTGATCCAAAGCCCAATTAACACCTGCCATTGTCACGACGGCCTAAAATACCTGTACGCTAAAACAGCTATTCCATGTAGTTTGCACTTTTAACCAAATGAAATTATCTAAATCGTTGTTTCAGTGTTTTCTTTGTTAAGTGAACAGCACTTAACGACATGGCTCTTGCCATTCTCGTAAACATGTGAGTTAATTTCGGCGGGCATATCTCAGTAGAAAATAATTTCTAGTATACGTTCACCCTGGTGTGATTCCTAAACCCCCGTGGTAAATTAAGCTGAATCAGAGCAACCTATCATCATCTTTCATATTCTCACTACACAGCTCAATAAATAGCCGAGCAGTGAAAGTGCAGCGCTTACAGCTTCTACTAATCAAAAACTTACCTAAAGAAAAAAATCCAAAGGGGAGTTGTGCAGGTATAAGTTCATCGATTTAAGAATACGTTCCGTAGGCCGATGTGTTTGTCATTACAACTACACATTTGAAAAATCTGGCTTCAACAAATATGACATAAGGTCAAAACAACTCCGTTATTCTTGCCCTCAACCAAACAACATATCGTTCACGTTTCAAACAAAACAAAATGGAAAGCCGCCATACTATGATGGCATTATTGTCATTTTTGTGATAACTACATGAAGAGAATATTTTGACATTTCTCGTGTCCAGCCTTCCTGTTTACTTCCCGTCCGAAGATGGCTTCTTTGGTTGCTTCGTTCCAAATTTTTACTTCGGTAAAAATTTCATAGTAAATTCCATGATGCAATCATTTAACTTTTTTTTGTGGAACTACCTTGTACTTTTTACGAGGTATCTCTGCCTAGGTAAGATTCTACACGTGAATTTATCCACTAATCTCAGTTGAATTACAGTTGAACAACACTTGTTTCGATCAAATCTTCTTCAGGATTTTCCGGTGTAACCAACATCGAAGAGCTGCTGACTTCCAAAGATGCTCTCGAAAATCGTTTGAAAAATTTCGGAGCCGATTGGCCATTTTGTGTATTATATAGAGATCCGAGTAAGTATAAGATAAAAACGTTTATGAATTTTTAAGTTGTTAACTGATTAATTGGTTTTATAGTGTACTACACTGTACAACTACAAATAACTTATAATAAATAAATATATGAACAAAATTAAATATGAAAATGAAAGATGAAAATGAAATGCCGTACGGACCTGAATTTTTTTCAGGCCATATTTCCACTACTACCTATTAACTAGGGTTCATTACTGCGAGGATCACTTTCATACATTTCATGAAACCGCAGTACACATAATATGACGGATTTTCATGTATTCACATTCATTGAAATATAGTTGTTAAAACAAAAGCAGGAGTCCAAACCCAACTTTTTTCGAAGTTGGAATTTAATTCCCCAGAAGAACGAATAAAAAAGGAAGAAAACAGATTGTGCATCATCACATATGACATGATACACAATGATGGAAATCAGTTTTTGAAAGTTCACTCTACCTCTCACAACTTAAGGCCTGGAAAATCAAGGAGACAGGGGCTTCATAACTTCCAATCACTGGTTGCAAAATTGGTGACTTTCAATGACACTATAGTTACAAAAAAATTTTTATTCTCACCAGGGTAAAACTGTAGCCAGTTTAGAATGAAAAGTTGAAGGATTGTGAATATTTTATGAAACAAAAAAGGAAGTCTGGCTATTAATATTCTTTTCAGAAATCTCTCCATCCAAGCTTGAGCAAAGTTTTATGGAGTTTCTGAATAGTCTTCCACATGATAATGCTTACAAAGATTGGAGCATTGTAGCATTCAACCTTGACAAGGTGTGTAGCAGACTTTGTACTTTGGTGTAATTAAGGCACCTGACGGCTGAGTATTTACCAAGTATTGGCCGATATGTAGACTGATGTTCAATCAGTTGACATGTCAACTGACATTGGTTACCACTCACCCAATCACACAGGTTGGAAGATAAGTGGCAAATTCTGAACAGACACTTGGCCAATGTTTGGCCAATGTTTGGCTTGGCCTATTGATACTCAGCCAACACTTGCAATTGGCCAATATTTTACCAACATTCAGCCAACAGTACTGTAACTTGGTTGGCTCTTGTTACTGAGTTCTATCTTCTCTACATGTTACCTTATTTTCTCTAACCTTCATTTTCTCCAGTCCAAGTATCAGCCAATATATCAACCAAAACTTGGTCAACATGTTGACCAATAGTAATGACCCATACTTGACTGACAGATGCCTTAGGTACACAAGATCCATGGAGTTATTAATAGCTAATTTATTTCTGAATAAAAGGAGGATTGAGAATACTCAAATGTAAATCACAATGTTTGCCTCATTACACATTAATTTTCTTCACTCATTTAGGGAATGTTATCATGGGAAGGCCACCCAGGTACTGTTCCTGTTCTTCAATGTCTCATTGGAACAGCTTCTTCACCACTGAGTTACCCATCACCTAACAGGCCCCATAAAACAACCAGCTCTTTGTGGAAATGGTTTGAATCTGTGGTAGGTGCTGCAGAGGGCTTGTCATAAGCCCTTGGGTTGAACTAGTTTGTAGGGGTTTCACATATTGGTGGGCTTGCATCTTTTTTTGTATGAATTTTTTTCTAGGTAAGAAACTTGGCTCATCCAGAATATCTAAGACAGTAATCTTTTCCACTGGTGCAAGAAAAAAACTAGGCTCAATCTCCACCGCTCTCTCGAGTCTGGTCTTCTTCGTTCCTCCCCGAGACGAGGGTTTGGGAAGGAGTGCAGGCTCCAGTTCCCAAACAGCAGGTGGTAATCAAGCCTAGAAAAAAACATGATCTTAATGGGCAATAACCTTTTTTTACCTGACTGGGAATATGATAAATCATTTTTTCCTTATTTAATAACTTTGCTACTTATGAAAATAAGTACAGCCTGTAGAAAATAAATCAAACACCGTTTTGTGTATGTTATATCTGTTTGATTTTGTTACGTGCAGTATGGCACCATTTATTTCCATGCAAATGTTGATCCTTGCCATGTAGTAGTTGTTACGCTGCAAATGTTTAGAAGGATAAATTAGGTGAAGAGAAGGTTTCTTGCCCTGTTTACCTGGGTGGAAAATTTGATTTTTGTTTTTCTTTGTTTTTTAATCTCAGACGTACAAGAATTATAAGTTAAATTTACATGGCAACTAAACACAATACAGCAAATGAATAAGGAGAAAAAATTTAGCAATAAAATAGGTAGTGAGTTAGGATCATCCAAATTAAGGAAAACTAAAAATCCAACTGGCTTAATGATTTCAGAATCAACATAAAACTTTTAATTATCTACAAGATATCTAAAGTAGGCAATTAAGAGCATGGAAAAAAAGTATACTCAAGACAAACATCAGTACACAAAAACAATGCTTGTCATAGGATTTTAAACTATTATCCCCGTAACTCTCATGACTGATCAATACAGAATTTCTCCTTACAATATCAATGTAATACTAAGCAGACAAGTGAGGAGAATAAAAGAAAAATATCAGTTAGGGGATTATTGGTTGATATAACACCAAATTCTCCCAACTCACTCCATAAGAATTGTATGGCAGACAGTAAGAAGAATTACTAATGAGGTATTGGAAGAGAGAGGGTTATTAGAGTTTGAAGGGTGTTAATATTAGTATAGGTAATCACATGATTTCAAGTGCAATTTGGAATAAATAAGCACGAGTAAATTTTTTCAAAGACTAACAAAATTGCATGAGCCCCTAGGGCGAGTGCAATTTGTGGTCTTTGAAAAAATTTACAAGTGATAATTTATTCCAAATTGCACAAGAAAATCATTTCATTATATATTAATAATATACATGAAAAAATACGAGGTAGCTTCTCATAACTACACAGAAGAAAAGCGTGCACATCAGATGCAAAAATAATTTATTCAAACCCTCAAGTGACATTGACCTTGACATTGACCAATCATTCTGACCAATCAGAATGTCTAGTTTGTTTCTTTCTTTGCACTGAATTAACCCTCTTCTGCACTGAATTAACTCTCTTCTGCACTGGATTAATTGAAAACTGCATTCATCTTAACCAATCAGAATTGACAAATTTTTCCATGTATATTATTAATAGTTAAATTTGTATTTCCCTAGACATTTTTGGAATTTTCAAACAAGAAAAAATTGAAATCAAACCAGTATTGATTCAATTAAACTTAAAATCATTTTAAACTACTTCATGTGTATTTTAAAAAAGACAATAACCTGTCCAATAACACTTTTTATTATAATTATTTTTGATCTACAGAGAAAGATGTTTTCCAAAAGACTATTACCATTCACTAAAAATCTACCTCAGGAAGTTGACAGTCATAAAGGTTACACTTTAGTGGGAATTCCTGGTCAGTTTTATCACCAACAAATAGAAAACACATTTAAAAAGGTCAGTATGATATCGATTATGAAATATTTGATAATTATTTATCAATTATTCTGTCATCATTAAAATTGGAGTTCAGCTAGCTGACTTTCTATAACCAGGTATGATTGCCTAGTTTTCATTATGTATTGTTAGAGTTCTAATTTATTATTAATAAACTGTTAACATATGTAATGTTGTTTTCTTTCCTTTCAACAGTTAGCTAAGATTTGGAAGGAAAAGATACAAGTGTTTGTTGTTATTCCATCCACCGATGTTGAGGAGTAAGTTTTTCCAGTCCCAGGAGTGACCAAAAAGAAATTTCTCAAATTTTCAAATGAAAAGGCAATGAGTAGAAATTAAAACATATATCTCTCAAAATGACCCAGCTCGGCAACAATTACTAACAATTTTGTAATAACAAAATGATGAATATCACTAATATTTGTGTTTAATTCCTGGTAACAGATATGTGATTGAGGCATACAACATCAGCCAGGTTCCAGCTGTTATTGTGTTTAACTCCCAAGGTTGGTCCACAGAATTGATATTCTTGTTGCCTTTTTGATTTTGCATTACCTGTACTAATATGCAGCCTTGCCAAATTGTTATCATTTGATTAATCAAGAAAGGAACACATTTATTAATCTTAACACCCTAACAGCAGTATTCATATTCTCAATACTGTTCTCTGGAGTGGATCCAGGATTTAGTCAAGGGGGGTTCAGAGAATTGTTCCCCTTCTGAGGGGTCCAAGATTTTGAAAATTAGGTCTTCAGAAACATGATTTCCAGCGTTCTGAGGGAAAATTTAGGGGGTTCGACCGAACCAC